CAGTGTGAAGAGCTGGACTCGTGTTTTGAGCTATTAATTTATTTTACAAATATGTTTTCATAGATAAATAAGTAAATATTATATAGATTTGGTATTTTATATTCATAATCTCTCCTTTTTTGTTTTATAATTATAGCAATATTCTTATCACGTCTCATATTATAATGAATTATTATGCAAAGAAGAGAGTATGTGGACCGCGTGGCACTAATGAAATAGTAGAAGATAATATAGGTAAGTTGTAGTGCTTGGGAACGAGATTATTCCGGGCGAAAGCCCTTGGAATTAAATTCGGAAAAATTAATTTCCGACGTCGCTGGGATCCCAGCGAGGTCGGAAATTAATTTTTCCGAATTTAATTCCAAGGGCTTTCGCCCGGAATAACCTCGTTCCCARGCACTACAACTTACCTATATTATCTTCTAATGAATTATTAGTTAATTATTATTGTCAATAAAGTTATTTATTATTATATCATTATCATTATGATTATTATGATTATTGATCATTATTGATAAGTAAGCATTTTGAGATTAATAAAATAAGAAACGATACAGACAGTAATTCACGACATTATTATTATTATTATGGCGAACTTTATTGATAAAATCTCACTAAACGTATCAACGTCATTGCGGGCTTGGCCTAGGCAATGTGGACTAAGTATACTATATAGTATTTACATTATTATAAAAGTAATAAATAAAAATAAAAAATTTGCAATAATCTAGTAATAAACTGGGTATGATACAAAACAGAAAAAAAAAGCTAAAATATACTAAAAGTTATCAATTGAGTATATAGTACATGAAGCTAAGATCGACTTTGAGTTCTTCAAAACTAAAATAAGTCTCTCTTAGAACTACAAACACACGAAACGTTTAACAATTTCACAATTCTGTGAAATAATCCCTTTCTGAGAGTGTTCTATGGTTAGGCTAGCTACTTGCTGTCCAAATGACAAGTTCAGTTCTTTACTTAAATTTTCGTAGTGAGCGCCTAAGAAGTCAAAAACTACAGTTGCTTGTCTAATGTCTTTATTCCTAGTTTCAGGTCCACGTACTTRTTTTGCTTGTATTGGGTCTTTTCTGTGATTGTTTCTGGAGTGCATACGGTTCCTTCTACCAAAATCCATTCCTTGTTTTTCTTGTCATGCACACTAATATCAGGTCTGTTTGCTCCGTCTTTAGGGGCTTTCTCTATTTGCCATGGGATGTCCCATAGAATCTTATTATCATTA